TATATATATATATATATATATATATATATATATTTAAAATATCGAGTATGACACTCGATACTCCGCTCTTCGCGATCTTATTAGCATAATCGTTGTATCGGGTCGACCTGTAAACAGGTATGAGATTTGTGACGCAAGTCTCTATCTGGATTATCAGCTGGTAGCCTCATCGCGATGACGCGGTGGAAATTACAGGTGTCATTTTCCCGGAATCACTGTCGCCGGGCACCGGTTACCAATTAGAGGATGAATCGGTGCGCGTGTGCGTGTAACCACGGTTGCCTTACATTTCTAGGTCATGCATTATTACTGTGTTCGCTCGTGCAACTATTTCGCGAGCTTTCATACGGAGTCACGATAATTATAAATTCAAATAAATACTCCACGTAATGAAGAACAGAAAGATGGAGCAAAAAAGAGGGAAAAATACATTTTGTATCTGTTATAAATTCGCATTTGCCGTATACTGATTTTTCTTTTATCGATCTCTTGCGTCCTACGCCATTACCATTTCGTCCTACGATGCTTTCGCGATTTTTAACTCTAACAGAGCGACGATAATTACGATGCTATTATACGAGAATCATGTTAGGCTCTATCAAATAACGAGCCACGTGCAAATATGATTATCGTCGCGGCGGTCTCGTCAAAGAAATTCTATTCTCGGCTTTTATCTTTTATTTAGGATTATTTAATTCAAATTTAATTGGACTTTATTAAAATTTAATTAATTCCATTTTCCCAAATATAATATATGTCATACTTAATTAGTATATTTTTGCAATCTTTTAAGATTTCAAAATGGAAATTAAACTAAAGTCATAACATTAATTACATAGGTTTTCCTACTTATTTAAAAAACAATATAACAATATAACAATTTATATAACAATATAAATAATTAAATATTCAAGAAACAATGATATAAATAGTTAAAGAGATAAATAAAATTATAAATAACATCAAGGCTTTTGAAATTGTAAAAAATTTACAAAGTATATTATATAAAATATATTGTATGCCAATAATGATAAATGATTACTGAATAATGTTAATGAAATAAAAAACAAAATTAATAAAATTTGTCACGGTTGATAATAAAAAGAGAAATTTATTAAATTTATTAAAATTTTTATAAGAAATAATTAATAGGAATTCTTTATTTTGCAGAATACACAAGGATGGCGCCGAATATAATCAGCTCTCCTACAGGAATATTATATGAGGGTGAAACTCTTGCCGACTCGCAATTGATTGCGGAGGAGACCAAGGAAAAACCTAAATATGTTAGACGCATTGTTTGGAGAAATGTAGCGATTTTCTCATTCCTACATCTCGGCTCTCTTTATGGAATTTATTTATCGTTTACCTCCGCTAAATTGATGACTGTTATTTTCGGTGAGTCCTTCGATCTTATCACGCGACATATAATATATTCTTTATTTACTTGCTACTAAATAATTAAATAACGCATTAACATTTTTGTTCAACAAAAAAGTTAAATTATGTACAAGTATTATTCGTATGAATTGCATATTATCTATTATAATATGACTAAGTTTAACCGATGTATTTGCTGTAGCAGACTTCGTTTAACTTTGCACTGACGCAATCTCTTTAGCGCGAGTAATTAGCGAGATGTCAAATAGATCGAATATTATATATTTGGCATACTTTTTCGAACGCCAACCACACACTCAATGAAGCGATAAAGTTTTATGATTTTTTTTGACTTGATTGATAATATTGATATTATCAAAATTACTAATTATGCTTGTTATTATAATAAATTTTTTATCGCAGTTGTCATTTCATTATAAGTATTTCGGCATTTATGTTAATCTTATCTTTTATAATGTAATTTACTTCAATATAATTGCTTAATGAAGATTAATAATGGTTCATTAGACGTCATCAAATGGCAAAACCTTTGCGTGTAACATTATGATTTTCTCGATTACAGCATTTTTATTGTATCAATTAAGCGGCTTAGGAATCACCGCCGGGGCTCATAGGCTTTGGGCACATAGATCTTACAAAGCCAAGTGGCCTCTTCAGCTGCTACTTGTGATCATGAACACTATTGCATTTCAGGTATGTGATAAGATGGACAAGTATTGACATATTTATTGACTAACTCATTACTAATACTCTTTGCAACGGATTACGATGCTAAGATTTTGTCAAATTTAATTTGAAAAATTAATTATACGTATACGTTAGTGATACAACTTTCGATCGAACGGGTCTAGAATAGAATTGACTCTTCTGCAGTTGCATAAGATATAAAAGATTTACATCAATATGGCCGAAAAACATTGCATGTAAGAAAATGAAAAAAAATAACATGATCGACATCATTGTTAGATGTTGACTAAACAACAATTGATTTGTTGTTAGAAAAAAAAACATTTTTTCATGAACTTGAGGATATAAGTGGCACATATTGTTCGTAGTGAGTCAATCTCATTAGTAAGACATGCTCATGCATTCCCGATATTTTTATTTACCGAGAAAAATATCCCGTAAAGTAAAAGCAAAAAATAATGCGAATGAGATAGAAATATTATATATTAAATTTGTTTTATGCGGACGAAACAAATTAAATTCCATATCAACATTAATTAAGATGTAATTTTATCGAATCTAGGATGCTGCGATTGATTGGGCCAGAGATCACAGAGTTCATCACAAGTACAGTGAGACCGACGCCGATCCGCACAATGCTACAAGGGGTTTCTTCTTCTCGCACATAGGCTGGTTATTGTGTAGGAAACATCCAGAAGTCAGGGAGAAGGGCAAGCGTATCGATTTGAGCGATCTTGAGAGTGATCCCATATTGGCGTTCCAAAAGAAGTATGTATGTCAATCAAAAGTGTACGTTCTCACTCGCGAACATTATCTAACGACTTATTGCTCGTTTCAGATACTACGTCATACTGATGCCATTGCTATGCTTTATTTTACCAACCGTTATTCCGGTCGTGTGCTGGAACGAGACATGGACGAATGCTTACTTTATTCCCACTGTCCTTCGTTATATTTTTACGTTGAATATGACATGGCTAGTAAATTCCGCGGCTCATCTCTTCGGCAACAAACCATACGACAAGTAAATATCAATCATTTAAGACAGTAAATATGCTATGTATTTTAAATTAAATTTTATATTCTTGTCATTTCTTTTGAAGAAATTTATGTAATTTTTTTATCTTTTATTCTTATTTCTCAAATTTTTGTCAAATTTTGCTCACCCTTAAAAAATTTATTTAAGAAGAAAAACGGCATGATCGATATTTTTTATTCAATATAGATATATCAATCCATCGGAGAATAAAGGCGTTGCTATATTCGCTCTGGGCGAAGGTTGGCACAATTACCATCACGTTTTTCCCTGGGATTATAAGACGGCCGAGCTCGGTAATTACAGATTCAATTTCACGACAGCCTTTATCGAGTTCTTTGCGAAGATCGGCTGGGCCTATGATCTAAAGAGCGTATCCGAAGAGATAGTAAGAAAACGGGTGGAAAGAACAGGCGACGGTAGCCACGAATTATGGGGTTGGGGTGATAAGGATCAAACTCAAGAAGAGAGAGACGAAGCAATAGTAACGTATCATTATACAAGGGATCAGTAAAATGTATGTATGTATGTATGTACACGCAAAACTTTTGATTAATACGTAAAACTTCTTTCCGTATTCGGTCACGGATCGATTTGCTTGTACAAATATCATGAAGAATGCTATTTAAGTCGACGTTTCAAAATTTATGTCTTGATCATCTCATATCTTGTTTCCATGATTATTTGGCAGGTTTTATAATATCTTTAGATATAATATACCCTTAGAAGGCCCGACATTGAGCAGGATTTTTTATAATATCGATGGTGTTCTGGATTTCGAACGCTGTACTGACTTGATAAGCTTTTTTACTTTCTTTTGTAATATACAAAGTTAGCTTTCGAAGATATTACGTATTGAAAAGTTTGTATTATTCATACGATTTTTAGTGTGCGATTGTAATAAGAATATATACATATATGTATATATACATATACAAATTTTTTAATACGTAATATCTTATATATATATATA